AGCATGTAATCCTATGTTCAGCTTTTTACCTGGGTTCTGAGAATTTGAAATACGATGCCCCATCCTATCCACATCACTAATCACTGAGGATGGTGATGAAGAAGAGAAAGCCAGAGGCTGAGAGTGTCAGGAGTTCCCTGACTAGGCAGCATAGCTAAAACTGTGAAGTTCAGGTTTAATGAGAGACTCTGTCAGAAAAAAATAAGGTGTGTGTGTGGTTGGGGGGAAGCAACTTGATGTTGACCTCCATGTGAACCTACACATATGTGCACACACACACTAACATATAATGTATCACAACACACATGCAAGACAACATACACATTTTTAAAGATCTTATCATACTGGGTTACATAAGGCCATTCCAAGAAAGAATACACTGTACTTTGAATTCATTTCCCTCATACTTTACTATCATAACTCTTCTCTTTCCACCCCAAATTAACAGCACTCTTAGATTTTTACTTTATGCAGTCTTCCAAGATTACTTTTGTCATGCAAATTGTGACCTCTTCTGACCCAACACAACTACCTATGTTGATATTTCACTAACTTAACAATGATGTTTGACATTGGGTAAAAGAGAATGGCTTACTACTGGTTCCCATCTTTGGTTGAGGGGGTGCCATTTGTGTGTATGAGCAAAATAAAAATGAAGTACTAACATTGGGAAACATTTCCTGTATTCTCGCTATAAACTTTGTAAGTGAAAATATTTTAACAGCTATTTCTGTTTGGTTATTTCTTTCTTTCTGGTGATCTGTTGTTGCCCTTTTGTTTTTCTCATTAGCAACCTCATGAAGGGGTAGATAGGAGCAAAGCAAGGAGATTGGATTCGAATGATGTCATTTGGCCTGTTGCTCATTGGTTAAAACAGAGTCCTAAGAGGCCAGTTTGGGGAGCTGGATTCTGTCCATGGTCCAGTTTACTTTGGACATACGCAACTTCACTCAGAGGCTAGAGACCATAATTCCATCTTCTGCCAGATGTTTTGTACATGTGGTCTATGGTCATGGGTGTGTGGGAGGGGGAGTGGGGAATAAGCCAGTGAGAAGAAATGACTCAGGACAATTCGACCTCATGTCAGGAAAAACAAGTGGAAGTGTAGGTCCCTCTTAGCCTGGAATTTGTGAACTCATCATTTATTAATTCCTGAGGCTGAAGGTCTGTCTTGTTAAAAAGAGGCTGTAATTACTGGTTAAAAGAGGCTTGGCAGATCACTTGTCAGTCTATCTACCATTGATCTCCTCTTAAATGTCATGTAAGACAAAACCACTTGTGAGCTTTTTCAGAGTCAAGAGGCTAAGAAATGTCTTCACTTAAAAAAAAAACAATTGCAAAGAATTAAAAAGAGTGGTTCAGGATACATGAAGTTCCCAAAAACTTGGATTACAGTATGTACCTCATTTATTTATGTACTGTCCAGAGCTGTTTTTGTACTACACTGGCAGAGCATAGTAGTCGCAGAGATAAAAATATTTTCTCTCAGGAAAAAGAGAGGGGGATAAGAGGAGGGTAGAAGAAGACATGGGGGAGCAGGAAGGTTGAGTCAGGGTAAGAACAAAGGAGACCAGGATGAGAGATACCATAATATTTGGAGTCATTATAGCTTTGAGGAGAGAGCTGACACTAATGAGATTTTCAGAGATATACAAGGATAACACCAACTGGAAAACTAAGTACTAGCAGAGAGACTACATTAATAGCCCCTACCTGATGATAAGGTTGATGACTACCCTATATGACATCCTAGAACCTTCATCCTGTGACTGACAAAAGCAGAGACAGATACTCACAGCTAAACACTGAACTGACCCCCTGGAGCTCAGTAACAGAGATAGAGGAGTGATGAGCAAGGCGGTCAAGACCGTGCTGGCGAAACCCACAAAGACAGCTGACTGGACAAGGGGAAGCTCTTGAACCCCACACTGATGACTAAGAGGCCAACAGGGGACTGATCCAGACTCCATGAATGTAGTGTCAGTAAGGACACCTCAGAAATCTCTGGGGCCTTGGATAGTAGACTAGTGTTCATCATGGCATACTAATGAACTTTAGGAGCCCATTCCCCATGGAGGGATGCTCTCAGCCTGGACACATGGGGAAGGGCTTCGGTCCTGCCCAGGATGAAATGACAGACTCTGGAGATCTCCTCAAAGAGGGCCTCACCCTCCCTGGGGAATGATGTGGTGATTGGGCTGGGGATGGGGGGTGGGGTTGGGCTGGTGGAGGGAGAAGGGGGAGCTTGGATTGACATTTGAAGCATGCATGTTTCTAATTTAAATTTTAAAAAATACTTAAAAAATTAAAAAATATTTGCTCTCTGGCCCTTTCCATAAAGTTTGGTCCTTATTATTTTTTCTTATTCTACATGAACATTTCTAGAACCCATAACACCTTAAAGTTCTTGCCCCCTTTTTACGATATTCCATTTGCGCAAATTATTTTTATCTTAAAATCATAACAAGGTAAGACCTCCAAAACAGATTTTCCCTATTTTTGTAAATTACTGTATGATTCTCAGAATATCAAAAAGTTAATGGTGCTTCATTCCTCCCAGATGGCTAACCCACTTCACTGTGCACACACAGGATCTTGCTGGACTACTGCTGGAGGTTTTTTTGTTAATTTAGTTTTGTTTTATTTTTACAACTTGAATCTTTCCTCTCTTGAATGATAAAATAAGTGAATTTTGTTTGGGGCTTGTAATTAAAATGCTATTCAGTAAAAGAGGTACCAAGTCCAATTATGCCGCATTACGAATACATTCTAATTGCTGTTATTTCCAGAACAGTCAAGTGATTGAACACCATACTTTTGGAGACTATAAATAAATCACTCTGGGTATGGCATCACACCCTGTGCAGATGCCATTAGCAAGCCATCTGTCTGTAAATTGAGAATATATTGCCTAACAAGGATATTCACTATGAATTGAGAATGTATTGCCTAACAAGGATATTCACTATGAATTGAGAATGTATTGCCTAACAAGGATATTCACTATGAATTGAGAATGTATTGCCCAAGGAGGAAGTTGTCTGCTGGCATCCCCCACAGGAGTGTGGTAAAGAGAGCGCCGGTCTCAGAAATGGGAAATCTTGTTCTACATCTTGGGGTGCCACACCAACATCCAAGTTACTCACCACTGTGGATGGAGATGAGTAGGGAGAAGCCAGTGACTCATTCTTTTACTCTAGCTTCTTCCTGAGGCCCAGCTCAAATGAATGTTATTATATAAGGAACTGATTCAAGAGATGATGTGCGAGGGACCAGCAGTCCAGATAGGAGCAGAATTACTCAGGAAAATGACGGAGAGTGGTTACCTTTCTATTGCTGGGACAAAAACATCATGACCAAGGGAACTTATAAAAGAAGTTGTTTGATTGGTTTCAGAAGGTTAAAGTCCAAGATGTTAGAACAAGGGCATGGTGGTAAGAACAGTTGTGAGTTTCCATCATGATCCATAAGCAGAAGGTAGAGAAGATACCCTGGGAATGGCATGAGTCTTTTGAAACATCAAAGCTCACCCACCCCCACCTAATGACAAACCTACTCCAACAAAAGCCATGACTTCTAGGTCCTTCCTGAACAACTCTACCAATCAGGGAGCACGCATTCAAACATAGGATGGGAGCCATTCTCATTGAAGCCACCACAGCAAGGAAGGACAGGCATCTGATCGTGCACTCCCACTGTGAAAGACTTGAAACTTAACTGCCATGGGAGACTCAGCCATGGGCTCTGAGGTAGCCTATCTAAGGGTTCAGCTAACGTCCAGAATGTTAATTCTCCAGAGCTTTTGTCTTTCCTGAGGGGCAGAGCAGTCTTTCCAAGTTCCAGAAAATATGGCATAGATAATGGTAGTTGGAAGTTGGTCACCAGATACTGAAGAATTTAGGTGAGGCATTCATGGCACATGCTATCACTCAGCCATTTGCTGCCATCCCCACAAAGAGCTTTTTCCTGTTGCCAGGAAGATGGGAATGACTGGGGTGGACACAAGCAAAGGCAATCTGCTCTGCATGCGTTTCTCCTACTATTCTGCCTCTTCTAGTAGGCTTGAAAACACAAGCTGGCTTGATCTCGACGTTATAACTGAACAGAGTATACACGGGACATGGAGACTGGAATTGAGAAACACTTATGCATTAGTTACGTTTCTATTGCTGTGATTGAAAAGACATGACAAAGGAAAGTTACAGAAGGAAATGTCTATTTGGCTTACGGATCCTTAGAGATAAGACTCTGTTCTGGTGACAAAATATGGCAGCAGGTAGAGCAAGGGGACTGAAGATGGAAGCTGAGTACTTTAAACTTGAACAGTGAGCAGGAAGCAAGAAGTAAGAACTAGCTATGGCAAGAGTCTTTAAACGCTCAAAGCCTACTTCCAGTGACACAGTTCCTCAACAAGGCCACACCTCCTAAGCATCCCCAAACAGCACCACCAACTGGGGACCAAGAATTAAAATGACAGCCTATGGGGGCCATTCTCTTTCACCATAGCTCAGTTCTTGTCTCAAGTAAACAGGTGTGAAACATTGGCATAACTAACTTCTTTTAGATATCCCACTGCTCATGTATAAAATGACGGTTTGTTCTCAATATGCACTTCTCAACAAACAACAACATATAACCTGTAGAAGGAAAAGAACTTGTGAGGTACCTGGAATATCTGACTCCTTTTATTCTACCTCCAGAGGGATAGGCAGGCTGCTTCTCTCACTGAAGCCCACTGGAGCTCAACCTCTTCATGGGTGTGGAAACTACTAACCCTCAGATTTAACATGGATCACCATGCCTGTGCCTTTTGCCTAGCCCTTTTATTCATGTTGGTCTCTGCACTGAACATTCTGGAAGTTGTGAGGCATGCTGCTCCAGATTGGTGTGAGAAGGAAGGAGACACAGTATTCAGTCATACACAATACTCTCATTTGTTTATCCTTACAGTAGTTTGAATTAAGGTGCAACTGATCCCAAATGACGTACCCCTTACTTACCAATATATATGTCTCCAGAGATGGTATAAATGAAGCTTGTCCACCCTGGAAGAGAAGCAGATACATTACAATATTAATGTGCATAATATCAATTTATATATACATTTATTGCATATGAATTTTGGTTAAATTATGATATAAACATATATAATAGTAACAAAAGAAATGTTGAAGATGAAACATTGTACTTTCTTTTAGACTCATGCTTTAAGATTTTAGTTCTGCAGTATTTAGCTCTAGTGCAGGAATGGACTCTGGGAGCCCACTCCCCATAGAAGGATACTCTCTCAGCCTAGACACATGGGGGAGAGCTTAGGCCCTACTCCAAATAATGTGACATACTTTAAAGATCCCCCATGGAAGGCCTCACCTTCCCTGGGGAGCAGAAGGAGGATGGAATGGGGTGTTGTAAGGGGTATGGGAGGATGGGAGGGAGCTTGGATATGTAAAATAAGATTGTTTATAATTTAAATAAAAATATTTTAGTTGTGAGCTATTTTTTAATACCTATTACATATTTGATATTTTCTTCTCTCTCACACACACACATGCACACAAGCACATACAAACATACTTAAATACCTAAATGACGGCAATATATCTATCTGCCAAAAGTTGTATTAACAAATTATTTTATTTTCATTTGTGTACATGAGTGAGGTACCCACAAAGATCAGAAGTGGACATCAGATCCCCTGGAGCTGGAGTTACAGGCATTCGTGAAGTGACTGCTGGGATCCAAACCATAGTCCTCTGATAGAGCAATATGAACTCTGAATCTCTGAGCCATCCACCAGCCCACAAATTGTTTCTTACAGCACTATCACCGTGCTGTAAGCTATAGCACTCCAGTCTTGCTTCATGTTCAGTTTGCTGTACTTCCAAGTAGAATGTAGTGTGAATATTAATACCAAGGAGCATTTTTTTACTTAGTCAATTACTACTTTCCAGTGAACATATTCTTTTTTCTATCTATCGTAAAAGAGTGCACACATGAGTAACAGGTACCACATCCTGGAGGGCTGCAAAGATTGACCTAACTGAGGCATTGACAGAGTGAAGAAGATACACACACACACACACACACACACACACACACACACACACACACATACACGGGGGGGGCAGAATCTGGTATTGGCTGGGTTTGGTTCTCAGGGAAGCTGCATACTATATATACACACACAAGTCATGAAATATTAGAATGTTGTATACAGCTGAACAGGGAAGCATTGTTATTGCATACAGCTGGACAAGGATTGATGACATATAGCTGAATGAGGTGGATGATCTCATCTCAGGAGGAGCAGTCTGTAGGGAAGCAGTCTTCAGGTTGGTAGCAACCCTGGAGGAAATAGAAGCTATGACGGACATTTCTGCACAAACTCCTAACATTTACACTTGAACCACAGGAAGCCTTTGATATCCCTCTGAGCCTTGCCCAAAGAAGGGTTTGCCACACCCATGCTGAGGCATTGGAGCCCTCATCATGGCTGTGCTCATGTCAGCAGCACACATGCACTCAGAACTTCACTGGCTCCCTACAACAAAGGGGGATCTAAAATCTTTAATGATTAATAGGTTTCAGACGGCCTGTGAGCTCCCTGGAATTGTCCACACACATTTTTATAGAAAAAGATACTGTGACCTGTGAAGCTAAGAGCTCAGAATCAGAAACAGTCCATCCTTCACATGCTCAGCAGGAGACCTGTAGATATTTATGCTCAGAAGAGATGCTGTGTTCCCACTGAAAGAAGTGACCCTGGAAATAGCAAACTCATAATAGATGAGAATATCACTCCATATCTATTCCATGGAAAGATCAAGCAATGGCATTCATGGATGGATGGTGGGCATCAGACGGGAGTTTGTTTGGGAGTTGGTGATACGGTGGCAAAGTCAAGTGAAGCAGGAAACAGGGAGAGCAAATAGACTCTCAGGTGTGGTTATGATGGTAAATGGGCTGAAATACAAGAGTGGCACAAAAGGAAAATGAACAGGAAAACTTCAATATAAATTGAGCCAGTAAGAAAATTTGAATGATGGTCAAATAAACGTATTTAGTCAGGCCTTGAGAGACCTTTTCCTTCTCCTATTCCACAGTTTCATGTTTTTTTGTTTTCTTGTGTGTATGTGTGTGCTTGTGCATGTGCAGATGCATACACCTGTGAAGGTGCACGTGTGTGCACATACACATAGAGGCTGGAGGTCATCCTTAGGTGTCCTTTCTTAGGAACCATCCACCTTGTTGATACTGTGTTTCTCACTGGGACCTGGGGCTCACAGATAAGACCTGGGTGGCTTGCCAGCAATTCCCAGGGATCTGTGTGTCTCTGACACCCAGTGCTAGCAATTCAAACACATGCTTTTCCCGAGATTTTACAAGAGTGAATCTAAGCCATTGAGAGTGATGCTGTCTTGTTTCCTCCCTCATTTAGTCTCCCACCATTTACTTAACCTCTAACATTGGTACATGGTGTGGGTGCAAATACAAGCATCAAAAGGGTACAGTCACTGATGTTCAAGTGGGACAATGTGAGGATGGAAAGTCCCTCGTAGATGCTGAAAACACATGCCGTTAATATAGCCCCATTCTTGTGTGCACAGCCTGGCTCTGCATGGGCCCTTGTTTCTAGTGGGTGATCCGCTTTCCTATTCCTATTTAGCCTAATTTACAATTCTACTCTACAACTAAATCCCTTTCCTCTCAGCATAAAAAAAATTTTGGATTAAAAATGGTTACTATTTCTTCTTCTAAGTGCAAATGGCTTTATTTCTTTTATCTTGAGAAAAAAGTTTAATGGGTTATTTCAAGAATACCAAAGCATGGGCCATCTAAACTGTAAATCTTTCTGTAATTCTCAGAACTACCTCATCATAAACAATGAGCAATTTGATATTTGTACTTTGGGGACTTTTTCCTTTTATGTACTGCATATTATTTACTTCAAAAGTAGAAGAAACTCAACGTTGTCTTTTAAACATCTTTCCATGTCAAAACATGGAGCTGTAACTCATCCTTAGGAAAGACTGCAGGGCGTTCCATTGTCATGAATGTGTTTTTGTTCATATAATCAATCCCCCCTTCATACATTCAAGGAAGTTAAAAGGTGATTATTTCTAGAACTGCCAAAACCTCTCCACTCTCAGTTGCTCAGCTGATGTTTGTATTTTGGATCTTTTAACTTATTCCCACCTCATTTCTCCTTAACTGACTGCTTCACTCTCCAAACAGACACCTAGTCCACAGTAGTCACTTGAGTCTGTTTTCTTTCCTTCGAAAAACCTTTTTATGACAAAACCCAGAAGGACAAAGTGTGTGCTTCAAGGAGCCACCAAGTGAGTGTTCTACATGCATTCAGCTGTCTTTGCTGCTTGTCAAAGTAATCTATTAGGACACACAGTGTAACACAGTTCAGTATAACACAGTTCATTTAGCTCAGTAGAAAGCACAGAGCATTAGATCTAGTGGAACAGGAGCAATGGAGCAATCCCCCTTCAATCTTCTTTGTAGTAAGAGATCCACCTACACATTCTATGAAACTTTGTTTTATTTCTAGGGAGCACTGTTTCTCGGGGCTGCCAAAAGGAAAGTAAGTGTTAAATAGCAGAAATGAATACAATCAATATGTTTAAGAAGAAACATATTTTGATCAAATTCCTCCTTGCTAAAAGCAGGATTGCATCAGCCAAGGGCTCTCCCCTGTGTAATTTTCACATCATTCTTCTTTCCTTCAACTCTCCTCTCACTTTTATGTGATGCATTAGGAGTTGATGCCACCCTCAAGTTTCTGTCATTCTATCAGAAGTCACATAGTCTACATTTTCCTTGTGTTCACAAACATGGTGGCCACCCTACTGTCTTCATGCAGCTAAGAAGATCTTTCCTTCCCTTGGGAAATAACAAATAAAATGTGGTGAGATGAAGATCATGTTTTTCTTCTGGTCCCCTAGGACAGTTAAGTCAGCCACACATAGAAGTCCTTCAGCCAAACACAAAACAAATGTACAACGTGGCTTTTAAATATGTAAATCATTTTCTGTTGCATTTGCTCTATTTCCAGGGAGGTTCCTGATTCTTAAAAATATCCCTAGTGAGAGATTTCCTCAGCCCACATTCCTTCGCTTAAGCCAGACCATTTTTCTCCTGCCTTCATTAAGAGTTCATAATTCTAGTATATTTACAGCTACTCTCATGCATGTATGTGGCAGAAGTAGAAAAACATGGCCTGCCGACACACCAAATTCCTAACAGAAGTCAGTTGAGTAGAAGAGGGAAGGCAAAGGGGTTAAGAAGAGACTATACCCATCCCCAAATTTAGGCTTATGCTGTTTGCCAGACCCCAAAGCAGCCTCGATCCCAAGAGCCTGCATTACCTCAGAACTCTTCTTCCCGCCTCATTTAATTGAAGACATTGCCTCACTAAGTAGCTCAGGCTGGCTCAAATTCACTGTCTAGCCTAGGCTGACTTCACACTCCTCAGGGAATCCTCCTGCCTCTGTCACTTGAATGCTGGAATTAAAGGCATGCACCACCACATTTTTTAAAAATGTAGTTCTACACCCATACACTAAAAACAATTTAATCGAAGGATAGAAAATTTCAGTTCAATGGTACAAGTTCAAGATACTTATTTTTATAATATGATATTAAAATTATTAGCAGTGTGAATTCTCAAAAAATGTCCTCTTTAGGGCTACGAAATGGCTCAGTGGTTAAGAATACTGTTGCTCTTGTGGAGAACCCTGGTTCAGTTCCCAGCATCCACCAAGTGGCTCCAATTCCAGGGGATCCAATGCTTTTTTCTGATATCCACAGATACTAGGTGCACATGTGGTACACATACATACATATGTACAGTCAAAACACTCATGCATGTGAAATAATACGAAAAATTCTATGCTAGGTATGGTAGTGCATGCCTTTAATCCCAGAACTTTGGAGACAAAGGCAGGTGGGCCTCTCTGAGTTTGAGGCTAGCCTGGTGGTCTACATAGTGAATCCCAGAAAAGCCAGGGTTATAATGTAAGATTCTGCCTAAAAG